GTTGTTGAGAGAGATCAACTGGTAAACCACCAGCATTGAATGTCCAGATGGTTACAGTCGGAGGATGAGGACCATGGGGGCCTCCAGGTGGTGCAGGTCCAGGTGGTCCACCACGAGCAACAGGAGCAGCAATGGCTCCAGCAACAGCACGGCCAACATCGACTTGCAGTTGTGGGACTGGAAATGGCACGAGCAAAAGCAGCAGCAATATCAGCTACTGAAGGAAGTGCAGAGGTGGGCGGGAGTGGAAGGATGGATTCCAATATGATTCCAATTGCGGTAGCTGATAACTTCTCGTTGTCAAAGCTAGAGAAACTGGCAGGGATAGTGAGGTTAGACTTCTGTAACACCATCATTGACAGCATCGGTGAGAGTCCGATTGAAGCTTCTTTGAGTCAAACGACGGGGTGCGTGAGTGCCGTAGGAAATACTGATACCCATACCATTGACAATAGGACGAATGGTATTGATGGGATCAACAAGAGTTTCATTGGCCCAAGGAACAATCAAGTATTCACATATCTGTTCGACGGATCTCGGCTATTAAAGCAGCTTCAGCAAGGACATTATCACTTCGGGGTGGGTTTGCAGTGAACAGGTTCTCAGGATGTGGAAGTGAGTCGCTGTAGAGAAGGTTCAGCTGAGTATGTGCTTGCAACCGACGATCCGATTCTGAGAAACTGACATGGAAGTCAATGATAGTAGAAAAGTCAGTCATAATGGACGTCCAGAAGAAAACAAGATAGCTTTCGCACTGGAGATGTATGGGCTGGTTTTAACGTCTGTATCCTGACACCAAAGAAAGTCACAAACACTTGATGGGGGCAGACGACTTGAGGGACGGACGGTCTTGATGGACACTTGATAAGAGCGGACAACTGAATAGGATCGGACAAAAGGGGCCGTAGCTCTTCAATCGTAGCTCAAACGAATCAATTGGTATCGTAAATGAGTCTAGCAAGTCGTTCCGGACGTATAGGGTATACGGTAAGCAAAGCGTGGAAGCGGAGCGTGGAGTGGAAACTTGGCGTGGAGTGGAAACTTGGCGTGGAGTGGAAACTCGGAGCGTGGAGTGGAAACTCGGCGTGGAGTGGAAGATTTGAAAGCGTGGAAAATCTTCGGAATTCCTAGGAATTCCGCTGATGTCAGCGTGTTCTTCGAATTTGTGGAAAATCTTCGGAATTCTTAGGAATTCCGCTGATGTCAGCGTGTTCTTCGAATTCGTGGAAAAAGTGATGTCAGCGTGTTCTGCGGAATTCCACTGACGTGTTGGCAGCAGCAGGAAAATCGAAATCGAAAAAGACTGACAATGGCGTGTTTCGAGTTAACAAGCGGTCGTTGTTCTTGTTATTGGAGATAGAAGGCATGCAATAGAGATTCATGCAGTTCTATAGCTATCTTTGGAGTGGCTGGAAGTAGTCGGAAGGGTGTGATCGTTTGATTCGACCTTTCGGTCGATCGGTCGATCGGATCACCAGAAATCGATCGTTTCGTGTACAAAAGAGAGATCGGCAATGGTGGTAACAATAGTAATGATGATAGTAGCATGCGTTAGCATTAGAAGCGGTAGCAGGGCTCGTAACCTGTCGGAGGACTCTACGACTAGTAACTTGATAACAAAGAACTAGAATGAAAAGAGTGAGAGGATTGCTATTCGATCCTCTGGCTACCGGTTGACTGACAGACTGTAAGTTGCGTGACAGCATGGCTGAGTGCTGTCGAGGATTTTGTGTTCAGTTGATTTTAGCATAGTTTAAAGAAGAAGAAGTAATGAAAGGATAGTTGACCAGATACAGCCTCAGTAGCACTAGTTTCCCCACAGTTGAAGCCTTCCTGTGTGGATTGTGCCAGGGCAAAGGGTAAGTTGTTCAATCATTGCTGTGGAGATTGAATAACAGTGACAGCCAGCTTTGTGGCTGGCCAATTCCCAGCGCCAGTGGAAGGAGGATCTCCACCAACAGAGTTCTCCATTCCCAGTTCTTTGTGCATCTACCCTGACTGGATCTCATCGGATTAACATTGTCGCAGATTGCAGGCACAAGGAGTGGCTATACAGTGTGGAAATCGAGGAGAAAGAGTGAGAGGAGTTGCTCATCGGCCGATCGCGACTGCCGACACGGCGAACGACCGAAAACTGGAATCGCAACCGATTCGAGTGGAACCACCTGACAGACCTACCAAGTCAAGGGTTATCTACAAGCCACGGTGACTGGTTGCTTGTCGAGTGTCTTGGTTAGGGCTTCCGACACAGCGGAAGGAGTGGAAGATCGACAGACACAAATCATCACGACAGGAATCTGCCGATCGACTTAACTCAACCAATATCAGAGCGGTAGGAGTGAAACCAAGTGTTCTACCTACCAACCTGAGGGTGCTTGAGAGGATAGTCCAGCCAGTTTCTTGTTAATCGGCTTGGTTACGGCTGCCGACAGTGGAATATAGGATCGGCTGATCGATCCTCCATCATTGTCGACTTTCGATACGGAGGAGGGAATCTCCAGTCGTGCCTCCGGAGGGTACTGCGGTGAACCGGTACTCACACCGTACTCACAGAACCGGTACCGTACCTCCGTTCCGAAAGCAGGCCGAGCCTTGGATTCCGAGTTGCCTCACATTTCCGTGGATATTCCCCACTCCGTGCTCGGTACGGATCGATCCACTGTTACGAGTTGACTACAGGAGCAACTCGAAGGGCCACAGAGACACCATCAGACTGTTTCGAAGCAATCCAAGGGTACCAGAGTGTCAAGCAACCTTCAGTTGATCATTGACCAACAGTGCAAGACCTCAAGTCACCATCTGGATTTTTCGTGGAAGTATTTGTTCAACACCTCCACACAAGTCAACCACACTCAACCAGCACAATAGCAGTCATCATGGGTACCAGCAGAAGCAAGAGGAGGAAGAAGCAGCAGCAGCAGTGCCAACAGCAACAGCTGCAATAGTAGCAACAGCAACAGACACCACCACAGGATGTGGCAACACCGCCGGCAACAAATACACCACCGGTGTCACCACCACCACCACCACCACCACCACCACCACCACCACCGGCAACACCAACAGGTAGCACTGGACCACCACCATCCACTCCTGTCAAGTCACCAGTGGATCCACCCTCAGTCCACCGGCTATTCTTCACTTCCGAGTCCACCTTAAACCGAACCAACAACTGAAATATCTAAACAGGGGAACTACCCACACAAACGCATGCCTCAAAAACATCCCACTAGGGGTGTTCCAAAGACTCGCTAAACTCACTACAGTTACCAACAAGAATGCCAACCAAACCCTCGCTGAGATCTACCCACTACATATCGAGGCGTTGAAGAAAGCTGGAATGATTCCAGATCAGATACCAACACTACAAGAATAAATACAACGATACTCCAAGCGACAAGAGGACAAAGCAAACGAACCAGATAGAGATGCCAAGCAACGAAAGAGGAACCGGAACAGATCATTATTCTTCTGTATAGGACACTCCAACGCCTGGACGACCCCAATACACAAGGTAATCAACGACCTCAAGAAGAGCCATAGCCTCGAATGGATTAGAACGTCTATGTCCTATTATCGATTCACCAACCTGCGAGAGATGTTCATGGGCGACCTATCGAGGAAGCTCACCAAAGACGTCATCTCCACCGAGTTCCAAAATGAAACCTGCAACTGCAAGCCAGGAAACAAGAAAGAAGGCCAATGCCGACTTGACGACCGCTGTAGAAATAAACTGGCCATATACTGCATCAAATGCATTAACTCGGGCAAGGAATACGTTGGGCAACCCAACGAAACGTCAAAGAACGAACATACCAACACTTCACCGACGTCATGCGTCTCCTCTACGGAAAACGCAAGTCAGATTCATACGCAAGACACTTCACCAACGAATTCCAAAACTTCGCAGCTCCTTCACCATTCCGACTTAATGGCGACATTCAAAGGAACAGCATCGAAATTAGCATCCTATGGCAAGGCAACTCCATCAGCACTGTCAAGACCTTCGGGACACGACACTGCAGCCTATGCAACAGGGAGCGACTCGAGATACTGAAACGATCCAGAGAATCGCCAGAAAAGCTGATCAACTCCTGCAACGAAATATACGGAGCATGCCGACATAAACCTCGATTTCATAAGTACCACAATAGCCCAAGCACTGATGATTCCCAAGGGGGATGAAAAAGTCAAACAACCGAAAAGTTACCACAGAGTGAAAGCTCGTGCTTTAGCGATTCGGCAGTTTGTGCTGATTAAAACCTACTTAATTCAGTCACTTTTTGCAAAATTCGTATAAGTCCACCGGCTACCTGTGGTTCCCCCATCATCTTACCAACCCAGTGAATCATCTGTTGCATCCTCCAACCTTGCCAAGCATGATACCACCATGATTAGCCAACAGCTAGCACAACTGGTGGAGGCATTGCACCAACAGAAGGAGGAGACCAGGGAGCACCAGGCTGCTTTTGAGGCCAGGCTATCCCAACAACAACAGGACATCAACCAGTCTAGTGTCTCCATCCATGGCTTGGTCCACACATTGATGGACCAAACCAACAAGCAACTTGGCCTCATGGGTATTGGAGGGATCAGTCCTATTCCTTCCAATGCATCCTCTTCATTGGATCACCATCCTAATGGTTTACTGCCCATGAGACAAGGTGTGGAAGGGACCACTGGTTCTATAGCACAGTCCCAAGGCAGTTCAGAACCAGTTGGTTTGGATTCAGGATTGATGAGTGATGTTGAGGACCATCTTGGTCCATCCCCTCAGCCCCAAGTGGATATAGATGTTGCCATCCCACCTTGTGGAGATGAAGTCATTGACCATTTGAGGGCCCTCAAGGAGGAGGATAAGACTACAAAGACTACCTCAACCCAACCAACACCAACACATGGCAGCAGTCTACCTTCAACATTCTCCCTGCCTTACACGCCATCCAACCACGCACCAGCTCGACCTGCTCAACCTGTTAGCAGTACAGCCATCTTCCAATACCCCAAACGGTACCACAGATCTGGAGACAACAACCGGTTCTACAGACAGCCAGACCTCATCTTTCCAGAGGCATTGCCCCACAGGCAGGAAACACACTACTCAGGAAGGTGGATCATCAACCCTGACATGCGGAAGGTATGGGTCCGCTATGATAGGGCATTGAGTGCTGATGAACTCCCTGCCAATGTGCCAACCAACCCTGCACATTGGGTCAACAGAAGGTATCCTGACGGTTTATTCTTCACTGACCAAGGGGAGTGGATCATCTCTGATGTAAGGGATAGGTTCTTCAACCATGATCAGCCACCTACCCACACACCAGTCACCACAGGCCTCACTCCCACCACAGCCTACACTTCACCTGGATACCAGACCGTGCCCATGGAGGAGCCATCCAAGCAGGTAGACAGTGATATTGTAAGGCCCAGGTCCAAACCATCCCTCTTCTCCAATCTAGAAGGGACATCTCCCATGGACAAGGTAACTCAAGGCAGGATTCCAGACAGATTTGGTGATCCTGGAGACCCTGGTGGCTCAGGGTACCATGGTGGTGATGGCAACCACAGAGGCTTTAGCAGAAAGGGCAGGTATGGTGGTCCCCCAGGAGGAGGACCCCCTGGAGACCCTTGGGATCCTGATGGTGGTGGTGACCCTCCTGCTGGCCCTGGAGGAGGTGGAGGAGGAGACGGCCCCAGACGCAAGTTGTTCCATGCCAAGCCAGATGCCAATGCGTACCCCACCCTCAAGTCCAACAAGGACTTCGACCAATGGTACAGCGTTTTTATAACAACGGCTAGGGCACAGGGATTCTATGCTCTCTTCGACTCCAATTATGTGCCATTGGACCATGCAGGAGTCTGCTTTTGAGCTCCATAGGATGAACGAATGGTTCTACGCGGTCCTGCAGAAAATCATCAAGACAACCGATGGCAAGGTGATAGTTAAGGAACATTTTCATGATTGTGACTGCTTTCACATTCTACATGCACTGATCCAGGATGCTCACACCTCTGTGGAAGGTACACTGGAGTCCGTGGAGACACTCAACTGGCTCACCTGGGTCAGTACTCCACAACCAAGGGCTCTGCAGTGGAGTTCATCATCCACTACGATGAGGTTCTCACACGATACAACGACTCCAAGACCAACGAGCAGGATAAACTCAGTGATAGTATCCAAAAACTGTTCCTACAACAGGCATTCATCGACATCAAGGTTCTCAATGACATCAGCGCCAGAGAGCAGGAAAACATGTGCAGCAATGGTGCACACATGTCTTACTCGTATGAGAAATACAAGGAGGTACTGACCAACGCTGCTACCAGGTTTGATGTCAATCACAAGCTTCTAGTACCCACCGGCAGATCCTGCAGGGCCAACATGGCTGTGATCGACGAGTCTGAAGACGACGCCGGGCAACCTGATGGCATGGATACGATGGATGACCTCACTCATCTCCAAGCCTTTGCGGCCATCAGGGACCCCTCTGTCGGACTCCCAGACCAACATTGGACCCAACATTCTAGTACGGGCAAGAAGAACTGGCATCAATTTGATGACCACGACAAGAAGGTACTGATGGAATCCAAGCCACCAGCACCCACCAGCCACCAAGTCAACGTTGCCAATAGCATGACAGACCCAGATAGTGAAGCTGACCCTGCAGTCGGGGACACACCTGGACCATCCTTGGACGTCAATCAGACAGATATGACACCTTCAGTTGGCAAACCTGTGGCTTCCCCATCCCATTCAGCATCCCAGGCAAAGGCAAATGACAAACACCCTGGGGATGTCCGACGAATGATGTCAAACACCACAGGCAAACGGCAGGGTTACACCGTCTCATTCAGCCCTGATACCGGTTCTGACCCACCATCTGCCTTTACCAAGGCCACGGGTGATGACATTGACACCAAGTTACAGGCCTACTGGTCCTCTAGTCGGAGCCACATACCTGTACGTCGGCCTGAACCTGAGCCGGAGCCAGATTTTTGAAGGGGCGATCTGTTTATGTGCTGAACAGGTCCAGCCCCAGGAAACCAGGCACCACCCATGCTCGCGGGGTAGCATGCCACCTACCTTTGGAGGGGCTACCTTCCGCGGCAATTGGCAAGGAACGACCAGTTACTGTGCTGGGCCGGTCGTCTCCAGGGCACTCCAGCACACCCGGTTCTGTGATCTACACTGTTTCCAACCATTCCTGGTCCAAGCTCATGTGGCGAGCACTCATGGATCGAGGAGCCAATGGCTGCATCCTTGGCAAGGATGTCAGGGTTATCCACCGCTACGGTCAATTCATTGATCTCAGTGGCATCGATGACCATACAGTTCAGAACCTCCAGCTTGCCACGGCAGCTGCTTACATCCTTACAGACCATGGTCCCATCATTGGTCTGATACACCAGGGGGCTGCCATGTCCAATGGCAAAACCATTCTCTCCCCAGGTCAGTTGGAGCACTTCGGGTGCCGTGTTCATGACAAGGCCCTGACTGTCACCGGGCTTGACCCTTACTTTGTGACCCCCAATGGTTTCAGGGTGCCCATGGCCATCAAGTCTGGGCTACCCTATGTCCAACTACGGCCACCTACTGACCAGGAGCTCAGTGACAGTAGTATTCCCCATGTGGACCTCACCAGCCCTCATGCCTGGGATCCCTCCTGTCTTGACTCTGTCCCTGCGGATGACTGGTTCACTCAGCAGGACAACACCCTTTACGATGATGGGGAGTTCCCACTGGACCCTCTTGGACGACTTAGAGCATTCGACGATGACTTCATCGACCACTCTGACCGCCAGAACCAGTCCATTGATCGTCGTGGCATTGTGGAAGCCATGGCACACATCATATCCGACGAGATTGACCTTCCCCCTCTCCTGGAGCGGGAATCCCACGGTTATGACTCCGACTCCTCGGATGACAGTGATGGTTATGCTTCTGATCCTGATCCTATATGGCAATGCCATGTGCAGACTCGGGCCCAACGCCGCCGACGGCACTCCCCCCCGTCCACCCCTTTGGCAGCTCCTTTGTCATCAGGTGCTGGGGAGGATTGTTCAGGACCACCTTCAACACAAGCTAGGCCAAAGGTTGAGACTGTATCAGACGACGAGGACATGGAACCACTTCGGTCCAACAACAAGGCCAAACACCACACCGGTCTTGAGTTCCCACCCAAGTCCAAAAAGATCAAGACTCAGAGCCCCGCCAAACTCAGGAGGTTCTTCCCAGGAGTTACCGATGAGACTATCAAGCGAACCCTCGATGCTACCACTCAGTATGGAACCAAGGGCGCCACCCAGGGAAGGACACTGAGAGGTCAGATCGTGTCTCCCAACCCCATCCTGAATATCCCAAGATGCCACGAAGATGTAGCCACAGATACAATCTACAGCAGCACACCAGCTGTTGATGATGGGTCCACTGCAGCCCAACTTTTCATTGGCAGGACTTCCCACTACAGGACACTTCGCCCCGCTGGGAGCTCCGATGCCAGTTACATCAGGAATCTGATGGATGAAATCAGAAAGCTTGGTGCCATGAACAGGATACGGTCCGACAATTGCTAAGGCTCAGTGCAATCAGAGGGTCAAGGCTATCTACAGGACCTTTTGCATCGACGACTGGCACTCTGAGGCCTACAAGGGCAACCAAAACTTTGCTGAGTTGGGCTGGAGGGATACGAAAGCGAAGATTCTGGACACCCGGAACGTCCCCTCTGAGTGCTGGCTCCTGTGTGGACAGTTTATGTCCGCTCTACAGAACCACATCGCCCGGGAATGTCTTGGTTGGCGTACACCTTTTGAGTGGTTGTTCGGTTTCACACCGGATATCTCAGCCCTTATTCAGTTTGAGTTCTACGAACCCGTATATTACCAGAAGTACGGTGGCTCATTTCCAGAAGATTCTGTTGAGGCGGTGGGTCGGTTTGTCGGCGTAGCGGAGGACGTGGGTCATGGGATGACTTACAAGATATTGACGGAGTCAGGCAAGGTCATATGCAGGGCAGTGGCCAGGACGGCAAGGAAGGGAGCTGAACTCAACAACTGGAAGGCTGATGGACTAGCCCCGAAACTAGCCCCCAAGCCAAAGCCAATCTCAGGACAGAAGTCCTCCACAAGCGAAGCTGACCTTGTAGTCGGGGCCGCTCTGGAGACTGAATTGATTGAGAAAGGCATCGAGATAGAGGAGACGGAGGAGAATGGGGAGTTTCACAACTCCATACGCAAGGATATCTTATCCAACCTTGAGCACAGGGATGTTCTAGATGGTGGCAACCTACCAGTCATTGACATCACCAACCTTCTCAACAGGACCTTTATCACCCACCCCAACGAGGAAGGCGAACAGCATAGAGCCAAGATCGGGTCTGCCGAGGCCACAGGAGAGACCAATGCAGATGGGTCAGCAGCTGTATACAGGTTCAAGTGCAAACATGGGGACGAATACTTTGAGGAAGTTTTGGCATACTCAAAGATGCTGGAATGGTGTGAAAGGGACTTGGACAAAGATGACATGTACCGGATCGAGGCTGTCATCCGACATCGTCCCTCCCGAACTAAGTCCAAGTACGAGGTGCTGATTCAATGGGCCAGCGGAGAGACTTCTTGGGAGGATATGGGGAGCATCTTCAATGATGACCCTGTGTCAGTTTCCATCTACGCATCAAAGAATGACCTACTCAAGGTCGATGGATGGAAGCAATGCAGACCCTATACCAAGAACTCCAAGGTGTTTGCACGTATGGTACACCAAGCAAAGCTGAAGAGTTTCCGCACCAAGCCCATTTACCAATACGGTTTTCAGGTCCCAAGGAACCACGCTGAAGCTGTTTTCATTGACGAGAAGAATGGCAACAGCAAATGGCAGGATGCAGAGAGACTGGAGATTGCCCAATTGATGGAATATGACACCTTCGAGTCACTGGGAAAGGGTACCCCAGTTCCAACAGGCTACCAGAAGATACCATGTCATATGGTCTAGCCGTCAAATATGATGGACGGCACAAGGCAAGGTTTGTGGCAGGAGGCCACAGGACAGAGACACCAGTTGACCCAACCTACTCAGGTGTTGTGTCCTTACAGGGCATCCGTCTGGTTAGTTTTTTGGCTGAATTGAATGGTCTTGAGCTCTGGGCAACGGACATTGGCAATGCATACCTAGAAAGTTACACAACTGAAAGGGTGTGTTTCATTGCTGGTGGGGAGTTTGGAGACATGGCTGGGCATACGATGAAGATGATCAAGGCCCAGTATGGCCTCAAGTCATCAGGCAAGTGTTGGCATGATAGACTGTACGATGTGCTTCACGGATTTGGCTTCAAGCCCTCCAAGGCCGAGCCAGATATCTGGATGCGTGATTGTGGTGATCACTACGAGTACATCGGTTGCTATGTTGACGACCTATTGATAGCTTCCAAGCAACCTCAAGCCATCATCGACATGCTGCAGGCCCCACCACACAAGTTCAAACTCAAAGAAACTGGACCTGTTACCTTCCATCTGGGATGTGACTTTGAAAGGGATAGCGACGGAATCCTGTCCATGACACCAAGAAAGTACATTGAACGTGTCAAGGCCCAGTATGTATCCTTGTTTGGGGAGAATCCATCCACTAAGGTCACCAGTCCAGTGGAGAAGAACGACCACCCAGACATCTAAGAAGCGCATTTTTAGGTAGTGCTAGAATCGACATGCGTGCAGGTACCAAACGCCAACCAGCACGATCCCGATCCGTGACGTAATTTCTTCCAAGAATGCGTGCAGTGATTGGAATCGGGATTGTGTGTTCCACATGGGCATGCAACGAAGGCCCGCCCGGCAAGACTGCCTGCTTCACGATTTGGGATCCACTTTTTGGACCGTCTTTTCGGGAAGGCAAACCCTCTCTTTGGTACCATAAACTATATCCCGATTGGTAAGCGGGCGGTTCCCCAGCACACAGAATCCAAATCACCAGCCAGTGCGCCTAGCTAGTAGCAGCTAGTGTTGGCTAGCTAGCTTGCAGCCATGGCATCATCAAAGAAGGAGTTTGAGTGCCCTTACTGCAATAAAAAATTCAAATCTGTGGGATATCAGCAATCTCACATGCAACAGAACAAGCGCTGCCACCAACTGATGCAGAAAGCCCTTGGTTTGGACCTTGCTTTCAATCCTATAGGTGCTAGACAGACAAGATCAAGGGCCAGAGCTCACTGACACCGGTCGGCCCGCAAAAGCACCAAGAAAGGCAGCAAGAGGACAAGATTCCAGGGCAGCCATTCCACAAGGATTGCAGGACGAGGATGCCCATGCCAGGGCCTCACTCCAAGGTAGTGGTGGTTCCAAAGAAGACGCAGACCAGGAAAAAGGAGAGAGTCAGCGCGTGAAGAAATCAAGTTGCATTCTTCCCTTTACACTGAGAAGCTTTTGCACCATGTGTTTGCTGGTGCATCCAGCTGTTTTAGGGAGTCAATCCGCCACAACCATTTGATTAGTGTGGCCAAGTGGAAGGGAAAGCTGTGTGTTCCTCCCGGATCTGAGGTCAATGACCTCCTCATCTCGTGAACTCCTACACCATATGGAACCTCTGCTTCCAGCTTGGGAACAATGACTGTGGTCAGAAAAAAATGACTGCCACCAAGAAGCAGCAAGGACATCGGAGACAAAAAAGTTTGCTACCAGTACTCAAACTCCAAGGGGGCAATGCCAAGTATAGAGGTTGGTCCAATGCAGGCCGAAGGCGCTACAATGCCCTCAAGCTTGAGGTTCAGGATGCCCGTGCCAAGCCCAATGCCCAAGATGCAGAACAACAAATGCTGAAATGGATGTTGCAATATTGTGGAAAAGAAGACCACCAGCCCGATCGGATGCCGTGAACAAGAAGAAGAAGAAGGGCAAGCGTTCCTTACGATGATTGGTGACTGTGACTAGGGTCCTTCGCAGGTTGTCAATTGGCACGAAGGCCCCATTGAATGGAAGGCCCTTGGCCGCCTTTTGATTCCCCTTGGTGCTTTTTGCAGGGCTTTTGTGAGAAATTTGTTGCCCAGTTCTTTCTGTGTCGGAAGCCTTCCGGTGCTTTTTCCGTTCCCATTGCCTCCCTTTCCTTTTGCTGATCTTGTTAATTTGGTCGGTGTGTGGTTGCCCATCTGGTAGCCTTTTTCACACCTTTTCACCCCTTTCACCATGAGGATCTTTTACGGTGATCCTTTTGGTGACTCACTAACTGCTCTATTGATTAGCTTAACAATCTAGCATTTTGAATTCCCACTCTTATCCTAGTCTTATCTCGTTTTAGCTGGTTTTAGTTGAAACTTGGCCACCTGCAGGTCCCATTTTGGTAGGTAACGCCTCTGCGATTAATATACCCCTCTGTGCAGGTTCTATTGTTGTTGGGAATGCATTCTTCATGTTCTGACATCCAAAAACGGATGGCGATGTGACTTCTTTTTAGTAGCAATGACTTAACGGTTGGTTACACCAATGGGCACAAAGGTAACATACCACGTACTGAATTGTTTCCCCTGCCAGTAGTAGATTGTAAAGTACGTCACTTCCCAACCTGGAGCACCGGTTGCCTAATTGGAACCTAGCAGATTGGTTGGGAAGGAGGGTTGGGATGTTGCTTCCCAAACGAGACCTGGGTCTCGTTTTCAGAATTCCTAAATTGCGCTTCTTAGATGCATCATAGGTATCAGAGGTGTCCTTTTCCTACGGAGGATATCCATTAGTTTGACCCTCGCTTCCCGAATCGGTTAGCTCGGGTAATTTCTTTGCCTTGACACAGAAGGCTCTGAATGCGTTTATGTTGCTTTCGTCTGGGGGGCCGGTATCATCCAAGTCTTCTTCGTTGTCACTTGCAATGTGGCAACTGACCCTTCCAAACTGAGCTCACTGTCCCACTGGTAGGCTCACTATCCAATCCGCGTTGAAACGATCAATGTTGGTAGGGAAATCACCATCTCTCATCTAGCTCCCCATTTCCTTTCCCCATCGGCGCCCTTTTTTTTGCCGATTCGAGGTTTTGCTGCAGTTTCCGA